TGATGATTAATTCATGATTGCATTTAAAGTAGCCCCAGTGGCCATGAGTAAGTTCTAAAATCTAGTTATCTCACATTTTATGCAACTTTTCGATGATGCCAAAAGGGGGAAAAAGGTGTGCTTTACACTTTGAACAGTGACGTTTATAACCTAATGTACCTGGTCCTTGATGATAAGTGATAAAAAGGAAAAATGTTTCTAACATTGTGTTGATGTTAAGCTAAGTTGACACAGGGCCTAAGCTTATGAAAAGCACAGAGTTTGTCATCATCAAAAAGGGGAAATTTGTTGGCCCAAGTGAAGGTTAGTTTTGAAGATTGACAAAGGAAGCTCACCATGAACCAGGTCCATCCTTCAGGTCCATCCCTCAGGTGCACAAAAACGGGCAGATTCAAGCATGTGGGATGCACGTGAAGGAGATAAGCTTAACTTGATGTATTTAATATCTCCTGATCGAAAAGGTTGCATAATTGATAAGGAGAAGGACTCCTTACTCAAAGAGAACACTATCCAAGATAGGAAGGAGTTAGAAGTTGAAATCAACTAGAACTCTTCCGCCAAGGAAGAGTTGCATCAGAACTCTAGTTATTTCTTCATCTACTAACTCTATAAATTGCAGGATGTTCACACATTACATGTGTTGCACCAAAACGCAGAAGTTAAGCCTGAATTAAGAGCAAAATAGCAAGGCTTTTTGCAAGCAGTTCGTGTGTGATTCAAGTGTGCAAACCTGATGCTACATGAACCAGATCGAAGAACCAACTCCATAAAGAGTTTTATATGTCTTTCTTTATTTCTAGTTCAATTGTAGTAGGTGTTTTCATATTGTAACTTTCAGATTTATCTAGAAGCAATTGTAATAGGTACTTTGAGTATTCAAGTTAGAGTTAACTTGAAATTGTCGCAGCAGTTAGAGGCTGGTTGCTACAACGGGATTAGAGGTAATCCTTAGGTTTACAAAGAGTTTTGTAAATGCTGTTTTGGCTCAGTGATTTAGTGAAGTGTTGGGGAAAAACCTACTGAGTAGTAGGTCGTGGTTTTTTCACCTTTTGAGCCGAGTGTTTTTCACGTAAAAATATTTGTGTTCTTTACTTTCTACATTTATTATTCTGCAATAGTAGCAGAAGGAACACATAGAAGAACCAGGTCCTTCCATAATCAGTTTAAGCGAAAAATTAGACACCACACAAATCACCCCCTGTGTGGTATTGAAGTATAAAACGTCACCCACCAACCACTACCTCCACTTTATTGGAATAAAAAATAACAACATTTGCCACTACTGCCAAACGACCCAGGAAACTTCTACGCACATCTTTTTACTTTGCACCAATGCAAAAGACTACTGGCACTCAGTAGGACTGCAGGTCCACACATCAGCACTCCAACGCTGGATATCTCCACAACAATGGCTATACCTGTTCATAAATTCTAGGCATATTCATCTACCACATAAAATCAATCCACGTACCTATCTTCCCTTAAGTTTATGGAATATTTGGCTCACCCGCAGTCGCAATCTATTTGAAAAAAAACTTTTGAAAATTCCAAAATCACTTACACTACATCAAGCTATTGAATTTTCCTATTTGGCGGCCTCAAGCTGTAAAATACCAACTAGGGTACGAACTATGCTACGATGGATCCCTCCTAAACCTAACTACTATAAGCTAAATACAGATGGAGCCCATTCCTCAACAAATAAGTACACGAGTATGGGTGGTGTGATTTGTAACGATAGAGGCGATTGGATTATGGGCTTCGCAGGTTCACTTCCCACGTCCAACAGCCTTGCAGCTGAAATGCAAGCTCTACTTCAAGGCCTTAAACTAGCAGTACATTAGCAAATAACGCCACTGGAAGTCGAGCTGGATGCCAAAGAGGTAATCAACCTCCTACGAAACGATCATCCTTTATACACTAATATACTCTGTGATTGCAGGCACCTTCTCCAACTGCTATATGATCCAATGGTGTCCCATGCGTACAAAAAACAAAATAGAGTCGCAGATAACTTAGCCAAATATGGCAGTCAGATGGAATGTAACACTGCTCCATCAGTTTTTGAAGAAACACCACTTTTTGTTTACGGCTACTACTTGAAGATAAACCAGACCTGCCTACTAGCAGCGTAATCCCATCAACAGCTGAGAATGTCGCCAACAACATGGAGACACACACAACTTTTGCTCACCAATCGGAAGCTGCTTTAATGGAAGTGAACTCCTTTTTGTCAACTGGTCTTGTAGAACTAGCTCGGTGCAGCACTTGGGATTGTAACACTACTCACATTAGCGTTAGCAATTCTAACTTAGCTGCTGCTACTTGTACTTCTTCTGTTTGTACTATGGTGCCCCGACATCAACATCTCTGTACGCATATGTTTAATTAATACAAGTTACCTTTCCAAAAAAAAAAAACAGTAGAATGTGATATTCAAATTTACAAGAAAATTTGAGTTATTATCCCAATATTATTTTCACTCTTCAATCGACCCAATTGCCTATTTTCAAGAGAATTTTACGTTATAGAGCAATTAGTAAGCAAATAATTATATAAACAATATTATTCTTGTTTTATTACATTTAAAGAAAATTCATTTACATATGTAGCATATCTTAAAATTGATACGTTACCATCAGATTATTTTTTAAAACTGACCCATGATTTAAGGGATGATGTGTTAGTGATTAAAAATCTCCCATATTTAACAGAATATCCAAAATTGTAGTGATTATTCTCCGCTCTAATCTCTCCACCATCATGAACCCAATATCTCACCCTTTTCGTTCTTTCTCTTATCATGTAAGACAAAATCTCACCCAAAAAACTATCTCTTCCCTTCTTTTAATATACTGCAAATTTCATGGCGAATAACAACGTGAAACTCATTAAGATTGTTGATTTCACTGCTACCTCTGAAATGGATAAGAAACAGAAGAAGAAATTAATTCACTGAATATAAGGTGTATATACATTCAATAAACATACAGTAAACTGACTTATTAAATTTTATATATTTTGAATATACACCGTTTATGTTCATGCATTAAACAAATATATGCTAAAAGAATTATACACTATGTATATCCAAATAATATAAATACTATATACCAATAATATTTTATTGTATACTTCATAATGTATTTGTTCCAAGAATTGTATAATATGTGTATACAATTAGAAATACGTTGTATAAATACCCAACAATATATCCAATAGTGATACCATTAAGATATACTATGAATATATGCCAGTAACATATTCATATATATTATTCATCATGTATTTAATAATTATACAATACAATAAATTATTAAATTATTATATAATAAGTATAAACATTAGAGGTAAAATCAGTAACATAAAGGAGAAGTGAAGTAAAGAATTATTTGAAGACAAAAGTTGGATTGAAGAAGACGCAAAAGGAGAGAATTTAGGGTAAGAAAAATTTATAACTATGTAACTATCTAAAAAAGAGAAGAGAAAGTGAGGGTTTTAGAGATATCTTAGCATTGACGCATTAAATGGGGAGAGAAAGTCGT